TACTAGTTGGACAAAATAGGTGCTGGGGCGGGATGTAATTAAGCTAAGAGATGAGTTTAAGTCAAATTAAAGCTACAATACTATCTAAGAATTAAAATTTCTTGAACAACCAAAATTTGATTACCTTAAGTACATATTGTCCCTCTTTAAAGTAATAATATGGGAGTTAAAAGGAAGGAATATGCCTCTTCAAGAAATCTGAAGTTCCATTGAATTCTTTTTTTTAAAATGGGTGAAGCACAAGGGCTATTACAGGTTTTTTAATGCCTTCTTGTCTGGCCACTTGCCAGAAGAATTATTCATATTTGCAGAACTACAGAATTCAAAGAAGGCATAGGTTTAATATTAATTTCTTTTGCAGTCACAAGAACTTTAGTTTGACCATATTTGGACCAGCAAATCATTAACTGTTGTGACTTTTGTAAAATCTAATCCCAATTGTTGATGGCATGCTCTGAAATGAATTGCTAAATAATACTGACTAATGCCACTAGTAAACGTTTAATAAATGAACTGTTCATAATGTTGCTAAGGTTTTAAGATCAAGTGCAGTTGAATAATGAGTTAGATTCGTTGGTGAAAATCAGGGCTCAGCTTCAAAACTATTCTTTTAACCTAATATAATTCTTACTATTTATGTAGATTAAATGAGAAAAAACAAAATACAGAGTGCTTTGATTTTTTTGCAGAAGGGTTAGGAAATAAATTTTATGTGATATAGCAGCATAACATGTAATGTTTTATTAAATGAAAATGAGTTATTCCTTAATCTAAGAATGAAAGTATGATTGTACTATATTTTCTTCATACACAGTAAGGCAGCATGACTTTTTATACCAGCTGCTGGTTGGCAAAGATGCAAAAAGAATGTTGGTCTAGAGTAGCCTTTGGTCTGATCCAAAACCAGATTAATTTTTTTTGTCCTGGCTCAGCTAGGGTAATTTCTGACACATTTTGGTCCTGTATTAATTCTGGGTTTGAAAATTATTCAAACAAAGCATTCTTATTTTGGATTTTTGCTATGCCTTTCTACCACCATTCACTGTAGCTTCAATTCTTAGCTACAAGCAGAAGTGTATAACCCAGTCCAGAAAGAAAGGATTTCTTTTTTTTAAAAGAGAGACAGCAAAATTGAATATAATACCAGAATAGTCACCTGGATCTTGTTAATGCAGCCATTCCTAACCAGAATCATTTAGTCCACTTAAATTATTCATGCATCAGTACAAATTTGGAAAAGAAAAATTAAATGCCTTCCAAATGAAATCAATAAAAGCAAACATAAAGAGTGTTTTATGAATACATAAATGGTTCCTGACACCTAAGCAACCAACTTGAGGCATATGTCCAGAAAGCAATTGTAGTCTCAGCCAAATGCCCTTCTAATATGTTGGTAGCCAAGAATTTAACCCATCAGCAAAGCAGGACCAAAACAGGAACAATGTATTTCAAAATACAGTCTCTCCTTTTGTTTCTGAGTGGGTGTTTGACAGTCTAACTTAAAGAAAAACCAGCAATTCAAAAATCAAACTGAAATGCAAAAGAGGCCAAATTCTGTAGGCAATCTCTCCTTTGCCTGACTCTTTCCTGCTACTGGCACAAATAGCATTGCTGTTGATGTGCAGAAAAGCAAACAGCTTGCTGTCTTGAAATCCCTCTCCAATCTCTGAAAATGGGGAGAAAAGGTCAGGCAAAGGAGAGATTGCCTTCAGAAATCACTTGTTTTTTCTCACCCTCCCCCCTGCAGAGCAGAAAAACTGCAGAAGGGACTTCAAGAGAATACTGTAAGCTGTGAAGTGCTCCCAGCTGTGTAGGAGCTCCCAGCCCTGGGCTGCTGGTGCGATTGCATTGCTTTCAATGTGTAGAACAGCAAACAGCTTACTCTCTTGCAATCCCTTCCCCTCCAATCTGTCTGCTCTGGAAGGGGTGAAAAAAGAAAAAAACACAGGTCAGGAACAAGTCAGGACGTGTATTGACTGTAAGGGTGATCACATGGCTGAGGGATGCTGTGAAGGTTATAAATGATCATAAATTGGCCATAAAGTTATTTTTTCAGCACCACTGTAACTTTGAATGGTTGCAGAACGAGTGGTCGGTAAGCGAGGACTACCTGTATCTCTAATTGTGATTCCAGAGCAGGCATTTTCTGCAAATTCCACAAAGGAGCTCAGTAGACAAAATAATTTAATAAATGAGGAAATAATGTTTAAAAAAAAGGTATATAAGTTAAGCTACAATATAAGTATCACAGTTGCACTCATCTGAAATGAGGCTAAAGCAGGGCTGCCCCAAACATTTTGCTCCCACAATGAACGACAACCCCTTTTCCTTCCATTTCATATTCAAAAGTGAACTGAACTGGTATCAGAATTGTATTTCAGCACTCGTAATGAAGCAGTATCTTTTACCACATCTGACTGCAGCCACACGGATTAAGGGAAGGGCAGCAAATCGTATTTTTCAAAACCTTGCTGTCATTCCCTTAGTGTTTGTGCATAAAGCAACTGCTGTACTTTAATGACAGAACTAGATCTGGACTAAATCAACCTGATCTCCTTTTTTGGTAGAGTAGCTGATCCAGGAGGAACAATGGACAGAAACCAAACTGATGGATCTCCACAAAAACAAGTGCAAAGTCCTTCTCTGAATAGGAAAAAAATTATATGACCCACCATATACTGGGTAACAATGTGTATGAAAAGTATCTGGCTATTTTGGAGGCTCACATGCTGAATATAAGCCAAGAGCAAATGCACCCCTAGGTTGCATTAACAGAGGTATAGAGCCAAGATCAAGAGAAGTAATCTTTCCTTTCTATTTTGCTCTGGTTAGACCACACCAATAATACTGTATCTAGTTCTGGGCACTACATTTTAGGAAGGACCCTGAAAAACTGAACCATGTCCAGAGGAGAGCAACCATGATTGTAAGAGAAGTTTCTTGTAACTTTCCTGGAAGGAAAAACTCACAAGGAACATTAGGAATTGTTGGCTATGGTTAGTCTGACAACAGAAGACTGCAGGGAAACATGACAGCTGTCTTAAAGTATCTGAAGGGTTGTCATGTGGGAGATAGTAAGCATCTCTGTTTAGTGTTGTTCCAGAAGACAAGAGAAGAAACCATGTGTTTAAATTATAAGGAAGCAGATCTGACATTAGGAAGAATTTCTTACTGGTAAGGGCTGTTTAATAATAGAACAGATTGCCTCAGGAAGAGGTGGACTTCTTTGCTGGAGGCGGGTAAATAGAGGTTAGATGACCATCTGTCAGGGATGCTGTAACAGTGCACTGGACAGGCAGTGATGATGATCTGATCTCCAAGATCCCTTCTGACTCTTACATTCTATGATTCTAAATCAAGCAGTCCAGCATGCCATTTGTATCAAATTCTCATTTCATAGTTTAAGTCTTGTGCTTTGCTCAGGATACACAAAAATAAGTTTGACATTGCAGCTCTAGGAAGAAGTCAGAAAAAGTACATTTTCTGACAGAACAGAAGAGCAATCTATGATATATAATCAGAAAAGCTAATATGCAGGATTGACTGATTAGCTTCTCAATCATTAAGGTTCCTAAAGGACTTCCCGAAGTTAACAGCAAAAGAACAATTTACAGAAGCAGCGTCAAGAGTGAACAGTCCAACGTCAGTGGAAGGGAGCTGCTGGTGTACAATTAAAACATACCATTACCTATTAAGTTGCTTTTCCAAGAAAAATTAAGAGATAAATAATCATCTTAATAAAAGATTAAGTAGAAAGTGATTGTGAGAATGACACATCATATTGGGCAAACTACACATATTAGAATAATAATCTTTTTGAAATGAATAATCTTCTTTTCAAAGAAAATTACCAACCACAATAGGGTCTGGCAACTCCATTACTAAGCAGCATGGTTGTTAAGTGCAATGTTATGTGACCACACTAACTTACAACGGCAGTTCTGTCAGTTCCGGCTGCGGTTGTTAAGCAAATCACTGTGGGTCATTAAGTGCAGCATCACGTGACTGCAACTTGTGATTTCCTGCTGGTTTTCCCATTGACTTTGCTTCTCAGAAGCTGGCTGTGAATGTTGCAAATGGTGATGACATGATCGCAGGACATTGCAACCATTGTAAATGTGAGCCACTTGCCAAGCACTCAAATCACGATCATGTGACCACAGGGGTGCTGCAATGGCTGCAACTTTGAGGACCAATCGTAAGTCTAGTTTTTCAGTGCTGCTGTAACTTTGAATGGTCGCTGAATGAGTGGTCAGTAAGCAAGGACTACTTGTACAGTTTTTGGCAAAATTTCCTATAATTGCTGGCATTAACCTGAGTTCCCCTTTCCTCCCCATACCATGTGTGAATTATGTAAATCATCTTTTTGAAACAATCTCTTGTAGAAAGATGAGTAATGCCTTCATGTATTTCTGAGAAGAAATGACAGAAGTCCTTCACTTGCTTTCAGTTTCCAAAGAAAAACCAACTCAAGACAAAATTCCCTGGATGAGGCAACTGTCATAATCCATAAAAACCAGTCACCTGCTTGTTTGTTAAAGCAAGGATGCTTAAGACAGGCTAATATAAGGCAATAATACATCTGATCTTTGTACTGAAAAGCTTTTGAAAAGTGGTATTTTACAGAACCAATTATTTCTGTTTAACCTGGCTGAACCTGATGACATTATATTTTCCTCTCTCATCAAGACCTAGCTATAAGAAAAAAATTAGGCAAAAAGTGGTATCAAATTTGATTAACACATTTTTGTAACACAGAGAGCACAGAAAGTTGCACATACCTTTATGATAAAAAGCAATTTTCTTTCTTCCCCCAAAACATAATCCATGAAGTCTGCCCATAATGGGCCAGGTCTGCAGCCCAGCTCAAACCAAGGCACTACTCAGAATGACTTAATACTGGTCTGATGAAGTCACCCCAGAATTGCAACAGCAAGATGCAGACACACACACAAATACACACAGCGACATATGTCCCTCCTGTTAAATAATTTTCTTACCTCAGCTTTTATCTTATTGTCGCCAAAGCAGAGATGCTGTAAATAAGCAGCAGCGTTAGATTGTACTGAAGGGAACTGATGCTGTAACATCTGAATAACTTCTGGAAGTTCTGGATCTCTCCACCCAAACTCTCTGTACACAAAGAAACAAGAAAAGATCTATCAGTGGTCCTGTGGTTGAAGTGCTAATGGTTTAACATATTAAGACAACAGGAAATATTTTGGGGGTGAGGGGGAATGTTACCTCTGGGATGTATATGGAAAGGTAATTACTGCCATTACCACCCCTAATTAAAAAGATACTTAATTATTATAGAAAATAGCTTTCATTTGATTAGGTTCTTAAAGTTCTATTAATCTAAAATAATAGAAATAGAGTGCACTATAGGAAGCCCTGATAAAGATTAAGAAAATAAAATACACAAAAAGCACAGCCAATATGCACAGGCATGCCGTCTCACTGATGTGGAGCAACACCCACCCCAAGAACAAGATTATGGGGAAACAGCTTTCTCACAAAAGAAGACATTGGGGGTTAATGACCCGATCGGCCACTTACTGCAGCAAGGAAAGGCAGCACAGATGCAAATGCAAGATGCCATTTCTTCCTAGCTGCTCTTGAAGCAATTGCTATGCCTACAAGCATGCAAAATCCTTTAGCCCAGGGTTCCTCAACCTTGGTGACTTGAAGATGTGTGGACTTCAACTCCCAGAATTCCCCCGCCAGCCATGCTGGCTGGGGAATTCTGGGAGTTGAAGTCCACACATCTTCAAGTCACCAAGGTTGAGGAACCCTGGGCTAAAGGATTTTGCATGGGGCTTTCTCTCTAAGATTTGGAAATAGCAGCATGCAAAATCCTTTAGCCCAGGGTTCCTCAACCTTGGTGACTTGAAGATGTGTGGACTTCAACTCCCAGAATTCCCCAGCCAGCCATGCTGGCTGGGGAATTCTGGGAGTTGTAGTCACACATCTTTGAGTTGCCAAGGTTGAGGAATCCTGCTTTAGTCTATTCTCTTGAACAGATTGGACCAATGCACAGCTTTTATGGAGGCATAGATTCATTTCTTTACTTCGGTTTGTTTTATGCTACCTCTGCTATTTCCAAATCTTAGAGAGAAAGCCCCCCTCCATGGTGTTTTTTAGCATTCCAGCAAAATTATCAACATTGTGTGTATGTGCGCACACACACATACTTATATATATATATGCATGCACAGAATGTATAAAGGTAACCAGCATATTTGCTTTTATAAATAAATTTCTTTTTTCTGCCTTCAGATCAGTCTAGACTCCTGGTGACTGCCATATATGTTTTGCGCTAAGCAGCCCAATACTTCTAAAAAATGAAGAATCTCATTTCTCTCTCTCTCTCTCCTGTCTCTTGGTGGATACAAGTCACATTCCTATCAGGTGAAATTTCTTGCTAGGTTGATGGCATAAGTTTAACTCGCTTGTAATTATTGTCGGTATTTGTACATCATGCTAAACTAAAGATCCTTGGTCACTGAACCAGGATATGTACAATGCACAAGTATACACAGCCCCTCTCTGTGTATAGGAATCAGGTGGTTTCTCCCATTGTGGGGAGATGGGTGGGGACAAGTCTATTAAATAAATAAAAATAAATAAATGTGTGACTAGAATTATGGCTTAATTACTCCCAATCAATCCAGCTGTTCTTCATCTGGTTGGATCCCTCCATGTGTGGTACACTGCTGCATCTATGTAGCCAGTTTTGTGATATTCCTTTTTATTTCAAAGGAATCTGTATATTTTGCTTTGTTACTTCTACATGTTACTGTTTGTCAATGATATTTTAGCTTTGGAACAATTCTTGAAGAGATGTTCGTTAATAGAGAGTCTTCTGACTGAAAAAGATGCTTAGGAGGAATCTGTATTTTCTTCCGTATAACAAAGTAACAGGTTACATCTCTGTGGATATTTCTATTCTCCTCTCAGGTTGTATCTGTGTATGTTTGTGTGAATATGTGCATATGCTCCAGATCATGTGCCTAGGAGGAAGGGAGCTTAGAATGGAGCAGTTGCCAATATTCTGAGCTGGTATTCAACTGCCTTTGCTATAAGGATGCATCAGGGATTTTTTTTTCTGTAATATTTTTAATCTTTAAAAAAAGCAATAGCATATTGACATTTTATATACAAAAAATGGCAGTTGCCCATAGTTCAGTATTTTGTTTAAAACTGGGCTCATCTGCCCAGTAGAAAAGAGGAAAAGTAAGCTGGAATGTTGAGATCATCATGGGAGACAGCAATCCATCTAACAGGCTTTGGAGAAAAATGTGTTTTGTGACTAGCCATGTCCACCATGCTAATAATTTTATGAACAACCATCCCATGGTAACCATTCTGTGGGATTCCTACAACATGCTCTCAAAATTCTAAATGGGCTAGACAATTAAATTAAATTGACTCAGAATTAATGTGACCAACCACAAAAATGGTTTTATTGTATTTTAAGATTACATTCCAGAATATTTCATGAGCTATAGAAACAAGAGGTTTAGAAGAAATTAGCAATTTTTATAGTATACAATGTCAACAATTCATAGTTAACACTGAATATATATTATATTTTTAACCTTTTATTGTGTGACCTACAATTTATAGAATTTAAATTTGATGTAGAGCAGAAGAAAGATATATCCTTTTATTTTATATTCCCTTCTGTTCTCAGTGAAGTTCTCAATTAATAAAAATAAAGATGTAATCTGAGATTAATGTTATGGTAATATTTATAAAGATTAATTTTTAAAAAGTGGAAGCAAATCTTTTCATTTAGTAACCATTTATAGACCACTTGAGGGACAAAAGAATGCTGACAACAGGAATAGTTTTGCAAGGATTAATAAATGGTTAAATCAGGAATTTTTATAAGAATCCAAAAATGCAGATGATTTTTTTTTTCAGAATGAATGGAATACTGCTTATTCAAATGGAGTTCTGTTCTGTTCTGTTCTGTGCTATGCTGTGATGAATTTAGTGGCACATATTTCTATTTGTAGTAATAAATGTTTTTCTCCTTGTTCTGATTTTAGACAACAGCATAAAAACATGGTAATCCAATGTGGATTGGAGCTCTCAAGTGCAGGGTGAGAGAAGGCTAATCTTTGTTATCTGTGATTCATCCATACATTTCCACAGAGATCGAGAAGCAGAAGTGGCATACTGGAAGCACTTATGGAGACACTGTTCTGTTAGTAGTCACTCCTGTGCCTCATATTCTTTTTCTGCACCTCTTATCAGGCTTGGAAAAAAATGCTGACTTGTGTTTAAGATAAACTAACCTGCAATAAGCTTTGATTACAGACTCAGGATGTGTTATACCTTTTTAACTAGAATCTGAGCCATATACAGCTTAGCACTGTACATCATTTCAGTCACTGTATGGGGAAGCTACAGTGAGAAAAAGTGATAAAGAAAAAAAATCTGACAGAAGCAGTTCCAAGAGTCTTTTGAGGATTCTTGGCCCCTAGGAGGAACTTTGGGGGAACCAGGTGTTTGGCAGACCGTCCCTATTGGACTAGCAATATCTATTATCTTAAATTCTGAATACAGTGCTTTGTTGAATTAGGCTCATTGAAAATTTATTTTTGCAGTTTTTTTGGCTTTCCTTCATAAGTTCTAGAACTGCATCATATTAATAAATAATGCACTCTAGCATGATCTACATTTATATCCTTTTCCATTTAGCATGGCCATACACAACAATGCACATTTCAAATATTTAAAGCCTAATGTACATTTATAAAAGACATGGTTGACTTTACAGAATGATTTTGGGATTTCCCCCCTCCTTGCATTACTATTGTTTTGCTCAAAATTAGAACAAATCTTTGAATAACAGTTCCTTTTCATTTTTTGTTGCAGGCTCTGAGATTTTTTTCCCCTTAATATGAAAAATTTCAAACAGGGTCCCCCAAGTTGTATTAAAATCCTAAAATGGATACTCTTCTGAAGGACCATTAACTACAGAAATACGCAGATACTATTTTCCCACTAATATGCTAGAGATTGCCAATTTTACCAATTTACTGTTTAGAACACTGACTCTGTCTGCACATGGAAATAAGTGCACAACAAATGGCTATAAACCAGTTACTTGAAAGAACATACCTGCTTTGCAAGATTGGTTGACAACAGTGATCAGACTGTGCATTAGTTTAAATTAGTAATAACTGGGATAAATCTATTACATTCTCAACAGCATCTGTTGAAAGCAAGTAAAAATAGCACCTGTATGTTATAGGTAACAATTGTTCTAGTTGTGCAATATTTGGATTTCAATAGTGGATTAATTCGTTTATACAAAAAGTGTGTTTTAAAAGATAAAATAATACTAGCACCCTGCAGTGGAGAACAAACTTAATATGCCAAGTTGCATTTGCAATTAATAAAGGTTTGTAGGCAATATGGGCATCTAGTCCACACAATTTCAGAAACCTAAAATTGTACAAATTCCTTTTGGTTTTCATGAAAACCAAATAGGTTTCTTGGTTTTACATACTGGAACATCTATAAACCTCGCAGAACTGATTTACAAGAAGATGCATATTTTGACTTGAAAAAGAATGTTCTTCCATTCTCAGCGAAATCATATCCTTGGCCACTTCCATTTGTGGGCCATCCAAGACAACAGAGGCTGGGCAATTGGTACTTTGGAGGCAGATCTGGATGGAGGGACAGCTGGCTACAGAGATTTTCTCTGGGTCAGATCCTATGGGTGAAAGCTGCTAAAGGGAGGCCAAATTGGGGGCCAAATGTTTTCTAATGCTATTGCAATTATGTTGGTGTTTCTTTGGACCGGACTTTATTTTTATTTTACTCATACTCCATTTATCTATACTAGCTTCAGTTTGTCAAAGAGAAAGTAAAAAATAATAGATAAAAATCCACCCTCCCTATTAGCAAAAGAACACTGAGTTAAAGAAATCTAATACATAGCTTTAGGATGGGGAATATCTGCTTTGGTAATGTGTGAAAAGACTCTCAGCACCAAAGTGACCAAGTGAAGGTAAGTTAAAAGGGTGAAACAGATTTTGAAAAGAAGCTGGTCCTGTATAATACCATTGGATTTTGCATTGGCCAGATCCCACTTTTTCATGACTTAAAAT